TATATATATATATATATATATATATATTGGTATATATATTATATATATATTATATATATTATTATTATTATTATATATATATATATAAAAAGAACAGTTTTTATATTTTTGCGACATGTTTTGCGCGGCACACAAGTTCTGACGAATATTAACCTCCTCACACTCGAGAAAACAAAAGTATCGTAATCGCAACAACAAGAGGGAAAAGAGAGGTAACAACATACTCTGTGCCGGTGATGTGAGGCTGAGCAGTCCCAGAGGCAGCTTCGTCGAGCAGCTACAGGTCAACAAAAAACAGAAAACACAAACAATAAGATACTGGTGCAATCGTGATTTTTGACTACGGAGAGATCAAAATCAAAAATTTTTTTTAACGCGGGAGAAGCGCCGTCATCGCGCGCGACGATCGACGTATCGCGCGACGATCGATATATCGCGCGACGATCGATGTATCGCGCGACGATCGATGTATCGATGTATCGATCGTCGCGCGATACATCGACGCGCGCGCGCCGCGTGAAGTTGGCGCGAAGACGCTCGCGCCTTCATGCCGCGGACATTTTTTTGCTGCGCTTCTCGTTCTCGCTCGTGTGAGTTTTCGCTAATAGAAAATTGTGCAGTAATCAATAATAATCTACTGATAAACATACCCTATGTAGAAACAAAAGCGGATTTCCGGTGGATTGGTTTGTTTTACACTGGCAATGAGTGACACAAGTAAGTACTTTGACGGTGAGATTCTTTCTTTCTTTCTTTCGGGAACGAGAATTTCGTCGATATCGAGATTTTGCCGCGATGACACAAAAAAAACAAAACGGGAATTTGAGACGACGGGAATGTTGCGAATTGACTCGCGTTCGACCTCGCGATTTAACGTTGGGAAACCGCGAAACGGATCCAGTCTCCTCGAAGATGGAAATTTTGTCGCCGTTGTGGGGCTAAAGCAATACTCGAATAAAAACGCCGGTAATTTTTAATATTCCAAGTTCGGCCATTTTGATAAATTTCTGGGGGGCGGGAGATGTCGCGAATCTCACCAACAAAATTTAACGATTCAAAACATCGCATTTACATTGTTTTTCATTTTTCAGACTTGGAAAAAGGAGGACAACGAGAGAGTACCGGAGAGGATGGGAGAGATTTACGCCGCACCCACTTAGTGTCATCATGTAATACGAGATCTACTTCAGGATCTACGGCTCGGATCTGGGGTTTTGCGGACTTACCTCGTGCGAGAGAGACGCCAGGGACGTGGACGTGGCTGCCAGACCGACATCCCGCGATTCCAGTCCGAGAGCGGCTCCAAGTTTGACAGCGTAGATCCCGGTAAGTCGTCTCAGTGATTGCAGTCTTAGTCGTAATTCCTGCAGACGCGCTCTGCTTTCCGTTTCCTCGTCCAATAGTTGATTGGCCGCTTCTTGCAACGATATAACGCGCGGCTCGCAACGCTCAAGATCGCTTCGCAACTCCCTAAATTAAAAAAACGCGCGTTCCGATATTTCATTATACAAAATTTGTTTTTTTTAATCGCGAAAATCAATCCAGATCGAATAAGGGAGGGAGAAGGGGGGGGGGAGCTTACCTAAATTTGTTATATTTCGCTTCTATGATGTTCGCGGATTCCGTGAGATCGATCGGTTCGCTCGCGCGAATGTTAACTTCGGTACGCTCGAGCCAAGCCAACAGCTCGTCTATAATTCGATAAAACTGATGATTCGTCATAAGAGCGCGCTGTAATTGTTCTTGCCAACGCGCCGCGGTCGTGCAAATCTTTTCCCATCTGCCGTTCGCAACGGCCAATCGATCGCGAAGCTCGTTCGCGCGTTCCGTGTCATCCGCGTGATCGGCCAAGTGAGCACCGACGATGTTCAAACTCGTCACGATGCTCTTGTGACTGTCAAGATCCAACAGAAACTCGCGATGATCTTGAATCACGTCCTCCAACTGTTCTATGTCCCCGGGGGGCGAGTGTTGCTCGCTCTGAGTACCCTCGGCGTATTCCAACCATTTGTCTAAACGCCATAGATCATTGTCCAACTGAGCCCAGTTGCGACGCGAGCACAACGGACATGTCAATCTGCCATTATCGCTGCAATAATGGATAAGAAAAAAATTGTGACTTCCGATGTGAAGTTCACAAGCGATTGCTCACTTTTCAAGGAGTCTATTCGCCGAATGTGCGAAAGCGTACGATGCGATAACGTTTTTTTTTTTAATAAAAAAAAAACATGTTACTGATGTATAAAATTGTATGTTGATATTTTCTACTGATTTTCTAAATTTTCTAATTGTCCTGAGAAGTGTAATTTTAATATCAGACATCTCTCTCAAAATGATGCACAGACAAATGACATAAAAAAATTTATCTTGCAAATACAATAATATAACAATGTAATATTACAAGTACTATTGAATTTGATGCAATTTGTGCAGCACATTGAGTTCAGTGAATAAACTCCTCAACTGCTTGTCGAGCAAATTTATTTTTAAACGCTTTTTTTGAACGCAGCAACAACAATCTATTATTATTAATTATTGTATATCAATTGTTCTACAATATACATGTAAGTATTTTGCACATTATTATTTACAAACACAGATTTTGCTTCAATAATTTGTTACGCAACTTTGTATATCAAACATTGAAAGTGTCTGAGGAAAAAACTCTTTGATGAAGTGAACATATATATAAATATGTACAATTATTAGCAATTAGTGATATTATGAATTATTTACTCACTGGTCACATGGGAAAGCATAAGCGTCGGTGACGGGTGATCTATACAGGATAAGCATTTTATTTTAGTCTTGTTAGCTATGCATTACTGATCGCGTTAAAAAAATTATTGCAAAACAATAATGACGTTACAATGAGCTCGTATGAGAAAAGTTCTGGAGAACCCAAGTTAAGAAGCACTTTTAGTAATGTTATTGCAAATAATATACATATATAAATTATTAATCCTAATTCTGAACCATTTTTTTTTCCAAAAGTAAACCACGAGTCTGACATCTCATTTGATTTTAAAATATAAAAAAAAATGGTTGCAAAAAGTCGGACACCTTTCAAGTGCCTGCTACTATGTCCAGTTGTTTGCATAATTTATGAGATTATTTTTTTTTGATGACAATTCAAATGTTTGAAGAAAGTTTCAAAAGAAACCGGACAGAAAAGATCTTCGTTCAGAATTAGGATTGGACAATTAGTTATTCGATTATTTGTGAATGATTCCATTAGTATGTACACGTGAAATTCAAGAAGATATACGGCAGCACGATGATATATTTTAGTACAAAACATTGAAATTCCATAAACATATCAACGTGAGAGAGGGAAACTTTACCTGAGTTCTCTGATCAGTTGTTCACGTGCTCTCGCTTGTGCGATGAGTGTGTCGTATCGAGCTATAAGCGTCGTCACGTCTCTGCTTTTGGCCGCTCCCGGACTCAGTTTGCCGTCTTCTACGAGTAGATTGTGAAGGTGACGCACCAGTTCTATCGAAGACTGGGAACTTCCGATTAGTTTCGCCTGCATAAATCAATCAATCAAAAAAAAAAAAAAACAAATACATTGAAATACACACATTTGTTAATTGCATACTCGAAAAATTGGTGGAAGATCTTACGATAGTCTTAGCGGCAGCGTTGAGTCCTGGACCGGAAACTGGATCAGGCGTTACCGCTGCTTCGAGAGCGTTCAATGAATTGTTGCACTCGTTCAGAGCAGCCTCGAGTTCCATCAAATACGCGTCGCACGAGGTCATTCTGATTAGTCTCGGTAGGGTGTCCACTTGAACAGCTGTGTCCTGCTCGAACTTCAAGGTTTCCACTTGAACCGCCTCGTCGACCTCCGTTCTTTCGTGCTCCAATTCCGCCCTCAACGAAGTCACTCGCGCTTTTATGTCCTGCCACATAAGTTGATACTCGTCCACCAATTCCTGAATCGCGGCCACGTCTTCGGGATTGCTGTCCTGCATCACTCGCAACGCCAGCTCGTCCGCTTGTCGCAAGACAACGTTTTGAGTATCGAGCTCTTCCTCGATCTCGCTCAACTGCTGACGTCGTCGTCGCAGTGACGACGTCTGTTCGGGCGTGGCGAGATGTTGCATCTGAGTCAGACGAACGTCAACTTGCGCCAGACCCACCACCGCGGCGCCGTGAGCGGCGACGAACTCGTGATAAGTCTTCTGCTCACGCTGAATACTCGAGATAATGGCGCTGATTCTCTTCTCGAGACTCAACCATCTCTCGATGGTTTTCCGCGCCTCGCTCGTGAGCGATCTGAAATTATCGGGATCCAATCCGGACTTGGCCAAACGACCGAACATCTGCTCGAGCATCTTCAGAGCCTTCTGATGCGCCTCTATGTCCTGAGCGATCGATTTAGCCTTCTCGATCAATTTCTCCGATTCCTCCTTCGAAATGTCGGTCATACTGTTCTGCAGTTCCGTCAGAGATTTCTCCGCGCTGACCAGCCACGGCTCGTGCTCGCATTTGATCTTGTCGAGTTCCTGCAGCAATTTCCAGATCATCGCGATCTTTTTCTTGCGCTCGGTAGATTTCACGCACACCGCCTTCCATCGTCTCTCCAGACCCTCCATGCCGCTTTTTAACGCGTCCGTGTTGAAAGAGGCTTTCCACACGTCGCAATCGTTCAGCAAGATCTCGCACAAATTTAACACCTCGCCGATGTTGCCGCTCTCAGCCTCGATTGTGTTCTTTAGATGTTCGTGATCCTCGAACTTCTTGTCGACGCTTTGTTGCGTAGGTTTCTCGATTATGAGAGGTTCCGACAATTGATTCTCGATACCGGTCAGCCAAGTTCGCAGATCGCTTATTCTCTTCAACAACGAGTTCATAGTTTGAATCAAACCGGACAGTTTGTTGGCTCTGGCTTTGCCGCCGGTCAGCAAATTGTTCCACTTGTCGTTCAACCGATCCAACGACTGTTGAAGCTTCGTTTTCTCCGCTTCCTCCGCGAGCTCGATCAGTTCCTGACCTGTGGTTTGCAGCCACTCGAGCTCGCGCTGCTTGAGATTCATTTCCGTCTGCAGCTCGCACTCGAATCGCTTCACCGTATCCTCGGGATCGTCCGGCGTCATCAGATCGTAGTTCTGCCGTCTGACCGCTGCGTCTTCTATCCACGATAGAAATTTGTTCAATCTGCTCTCCCATCGGTCATAGAAACCGTAGCGTTCTCCGAGTCTGTACGCCAACAGGGCCAGTTGATATTCGAGGTCGCCGTGTTGCTGCGACAGAAGCGCGTCGTGTTGATTCAACGTTCTCATGTCGCTCGGACTCACGCACTCCCTCAGCTGTTCCGTGATAACGCCGAGAGACTCGAGCGTACGTTGGGCTTCGGTCAGACGAGTTCTCAGATGTTGAAGCGAGTCCAGTTTCTCTTTCGTCTTGGACAGACTCGTTGGTCCCGCGTGAAAAGCCGCGCTCAAGACCTGGCCAATTTCCTGAAAGATGGCGGTGATCGCCGCCGATTGTTCGTCGTGTTCTTTGTGCAATTTCTGCACTCGCTGTACAAAGTCCCTCCAAGTTTCCAGACCGGCGCGCAAGTTGCTGATATGTTGCGCGTTCGCCGCGTGCTCCATGCGTATCGACACCGCCAGTTCCTCGTCGCAGTCTCTCAAAAGAGACTCCTGTTGTTCTTGAAGAGACTTGATCTGCGCCTCACCAACCGGTAATTTGTCCAGAAGCGCTTGAATTCTCTGCAGAATCTTGTTGAGCTGTCGCAAGTGAATGAACCGCAGATGCATGCGCTGTCGTTCCCTCTCGATTTCGTTCAGCCACGTCAACAGTTTGCCCCGATCCAGCCTGTATCTGTCCCAGGCCGATATCTTGTCGCGCACCGCCGCGTGTCGCTCCAATATCCTCGCCAGCGTCTCGTTGTGCAGATTGGTCAGAGTGCTGAATTGTTCAGTGACCGACAGGTCCCCGTCCTCCTCCTGTCTCATTATAAACATGAGGGTCTGTTGCTTCTGCTGCAGAAGCTTTCGATGAACCTCGCAAAGATTTCGATGCTCCAACAAACCGTCGTAGTCGCTCGGCACGCCGCTCGACAAGAAGTCCTGCACGTGGGTCAGATAATCCTGCCAGAGCTTGAGCGCGGTGACCACGTCTTGCGAGCGAATCAATCGCGTGGACAAACGAAGATATTGCTGAAACGTTTCCAGAAACACGCGCTGCCATAGCTGAACCACCTCGACCACCAACGGATCGTGGACATTCACGTCTAACGCGCGATCCTTGATGGACTGAAGCTGCGGCTCGGTTCGTGTCAACGTGAGAAGATAATTTCGCAACACCGTTAACTGCTCGTTCGTCTCACCTTGACCCACCGTTGTTAAACTCTGAAAATTGAAAGACACAAGTTTTTTTTCTCCCAATTTACAAAACCTTCAATTTGAATTGAAACAATATCGCGAATCTCACGTTAATTCTTCAGTAGACTTTTTTTTAACTTATTATTATAACAACAAGTCAAATGTGTTCCATTAACCGGACATTTGTTATAGAAATAATTAATAATTAATGATCGTAAATATTAGTCATAAAAATTCTCAATGTTTAGAATATTTGTCT